GATTAAGGAGACAGAAGACAAAGAGGAGGTCTATTGATGGCAAAGGTTGAGGATCAATTGGTTGAAGTATAGAGATAAGAACATAAATTTATTGCACAACACTATTATTTAGCAACATTAGAGAAACAAAGTATTAAGGTTAAGAGGTGAAAAAAGATACATGACTTGAAATCACTAAAGATATTAATAATACTTTCTCAAAATTCTATACTAATCCCTTCTTCACATCTATTAACAGTAGCTTGGAGAAAGCCCTCAATTATGTGAAGAAAGTTATAACAAATGAAGATAATGAGTTTCTAACAAGTTCTATAATGAAGGAGGAAATTAGAAAGGTAGTGTTTTAATTGGTGCTAATTTAGCTTCTAGACCAGGCATTTTTAATGTAAAGTTTTATCATGCCTCAGAGAAAAAATATCTAGGATGAAGTTTGTTAGATGGTAAGAAGGTTTTTGAAGGGAATTGAAAGACGACGCGCAGCGGAAAAACAACTCGAAATTTTAAAACTTTCATTCCCTTTCCCGGATCTACCGATCGCGTTTAAGTCAGGTAGTAAGAAGCATTACCTTTAGGCGTTCGATTCCCTGGTGACTTGATGATTCGGCCGTTCAGGATGCTTCTGGTGCCTCCTTTGTCGTTCGAAGTCGACAACTCCGGTCGGCTTCCTCTACCGGTATCCACACGAGTAGCCCTCAACCTCGAACGGCGTGCTAGCGCCTATGTCCGTCTAGGGTTTTAGGAATCCGTCCTCTCTCCTCTCTTTGGCCGTCTCTTAGGTGTTGGTTCTCTCTTAGTTAAACCCTAGCTCCTCATACCAATATATAGGATGCTATATAGGTTTAATTAATAATATTTAATTTCGAAATTAACTCTAAATTAATTCCGAAATTAATACAATATCAAATATTGCCTAATCAGATAAGAGAACAATTAAATAAATATGGTTTAAATTAAATCCGTCTCACAGATTTAATTCTCCTATTTATTTAATAAGGAGATGACGGAATTAATTTGTATATATTTAATTTATCCTTATAAATTAAATCTAACAATTAATATCTTTTATATTTATATATATACGAATTTATATATATATATATACGTCCACCCTATATTATTCATTGAATCTGGACATATCTTAGATTCAATGAATCTGGACATCATAACTCGTGTCGGGCTATTTTGTGTGCGACCCTGTAGGCCCATATGAAGTTGGCAGTGGGCCATTAACTATGATGACCCACAAGTCGTAAGCGGTCTCTAGCAAGACATCACGACTACCCAAATCATATGAGGATCATTGAACGATGCAACCTTTCATACAACCATATCACGTCCCTTTTGTCTCACGACATTTTGGTCATGGATGAGGCATGGAGAACGTCATCCTCCTATCCATGACCGTTACTTTCTCGATCCCTGAGTAGTCTGAGTATAGAAACGGAACTACCTTTCCATTATAGTATGGCCATACATTTCTCAGACTCACTCATCGAGGGGCCCAGTAATGTCTCTCTACGAATGTGAGGGACAAATTCCATCTTGACCATTCACATTCCTCCGCATGAAAAACCACTAAACCTGAACACAGTCTTTATGATCACTCGGTCAAAAGTGACTTTTGACTAGGTCAAAGCTAAGCGTTTCTCATGTAGGAATCCATGATGATCTCAGGTCAAAGGGCATAGTGACGTGGTTTGTATATGAGAGAAGCTTATGACTTAACCCATGCAGCTCTCTCATAGCGGGTCGGTCCAACACCTTGTACTCTTACATGTGCCTATGACTTTAATTTATATCTCTATATATCTTTAAAGTCATACTGGTCTTATTTCATCTTTGCTCCCACATAGATGACCGACCAGGGACATTTAGGATAAACCATGAGTTATCCAAGGATAGTTACCACAGAAAACATGCAAATAATATGATAACGTAATTGATAAATTCATAAATTAACAATGTTCAAAACATAATGATTGGCCCCTAGGGCACAATTTCCAACAGTTTTTTCCTCAAGAATATTAATATCGATGCTATTAATAAAACCAATATTATGTGCAGAAAGTTGTAACAAATGAAGATAATGAGTTTCTAACAAGTCATATAATGAAGGAGGAAATTAGAAAGGCAGTGTTTTAATTGGTGCTAATTTAGCTTCTGGACAAGGCATTTTTAATGTAAAGTTTTATCATGCCTCAAAGGAAAATATCTAGGATGAAGTCTGTTAGCTGATAAGAAGTTTTTTCCTGAATAATATTAATATTGATACTATTAATAAAACCAATATTGTGCTGCTGCCTAAATTGAATAAGCTTGAGGTAGGAGGTCATTTGAGACCAATTGGTTTACGTAACGTGGCTTACAAAATAATTGCTAATGTCTTGGCTATGAGATTAAGGGGATTGATGGACAAGGTCATCTCACCTAATCAAAGAGCCTTTATATTTAGGATAATGTGATTATAACACATGAGGCATTTCATTACCTTAAAAAAAAAAAAAAAAGGAAATAGGAAGTAGCTATGAAGATTGACATGAACAGGGCATATGATAGGGCAGAGTGGGATTTCTTAGAAGGTGTGGCGAGAAAGATGGGCATTGATTAGACTTGGATCAGATGGGTGATGAAGTTCGTGATATCTGTGGATTTTAATCTGAACAATTTTGGGCATAAATGTTGCTACGCTCAAGTCTCAACTTGGGATAAGGCAAGGAGATCCCATTTGTACCTATTTGTTCATGATGCTGATTGAGTTAATGTCATTAATAGTGAAACACCATGTTGAGTAAAAGGATTTGCATGGTATTAAACTTGCCAATTAGTACCTAGTTGATCACATTGATTTTTTTTTGCAAATGATGTCTTGGTCTTTGTTAATGCTGATCCGTTTAACTGCTTAATATTGAGGAAAATCTTTTAGATGTATTGCTTCGCTTTAGGAAAAGAGGGGAATCTTGAGACATCTAGTATTTACTTCTCTGACAATACACCTAAAGATGTTTGTGAAGATGTATCTGCTGCTATAAGGATTAAGCAGGTGGATCAACATGGTAAGTACTTGGGACTACCAATTATTTGGGGGAGGTGGAAAGCATCTACTTTAGCTTGTGAGGGATAAGGTGGGTTTAAAACAATAAGGCTAGAAGTAGAAACTTTTTGACTTTCTCTTGGAATTTTAACTAAAGCTATAGCAAGCTCTAACCTATTATGCTTTGACATGTTTTCTCTTCCCTAAAAGAACCTCTATGGAAATTGATCTTTTAGCGGGCAATTTTTGGTGGCAAGAGAAGGAGAATATCAGTAACATACATTGGAAGAGATTGAAATTGTTGAATGCAAACAAGGGCGAAGGGGTTTGGGATTCAGAGATTTTCTATGTTTCAACAAAACTCTTGTAGCCAAAACAGCATGGAGATGGATCCATAAACCAACTGATTTGTGGAGTAGTATCTTGAAAGGGAAGTATTTCTCCAAGCTTGATTTCATACAATCAAAGAAGTGTGGGAAATCTTCATGGTGTAGGATTAGTATTATGGAGGAAAGGGAATTGTTAAAGAAAAATTTAGGGAAAACTAATTCCCTAGTCCTTATAGTTTCCCTAGGTTTTGAATTAGGTCCTTGTATTTTTTTTTTCTTTTTACCTGATCCTTTAAATTTACCCTGTTAGAGTAATTAGTCCTTCTGTTAAATAGATGTTAACAGTGTTAAAAAATCTGTCAAATATTGATGATGTGGCATATATATTTCCAAGTTAGATCTGATAAGGCATGAGCAAGTCCACGTTGCCCATGACTAGACTATTCTCATAATGAGAGGGGTTAGGGCGTTTTTGAGGGAGAACAGAAGGTGGGTTGTTGATTGCGGAGGAGGCCGATGGGGCAAAGCAGATCGCTGAGCAAGGCATCGTCATCACCATCTCTAGAAAAGGTAAGGGATTTGGACGCCGACCAAGCCATCGTCAATGCTATCATCATCCCATTTGGTTTTTGGCATTTGAGTCATTCATCGCAGTTGAGTCAAAGAGTGGATGAATATGATATCCACAGCCTTTTGTTGATGCAGCAAGTGTTTGAAATTATTTAATTATTTTATTGTGATTCCCAAAGTATTGGTATTTATAGATTTCATATGCTATCACCTAGAAGGTACCAAATGGATGTAGACGGATGTTCCTGGAAGACAAGGTGCTAGTGTGATTATTTTTCGAAGCCTCTTGGAGGTGGTCCACTTTTTTCAATCTTCGGCTTGCCCTTACATTAAGGGGGAAAAAAAGATTTCATATGCTATATTGCCCCTTGATTATTAACTTTCACTTTTATGTGGGAACCACACATAAGACCATTTGGATTTTCATTCTTAACAAGCCATATTTTTTTCCCCATCAAAATAAAGAAAATTTTTATGTTTTAGTTATGTTGATTGTTTTAAATGTTATATTACTTGTGGATGTTAAGTGTTTAATTTTTGTTATTCCTGGAATTGCTAATATAGGATGGGGGGTTGCTAATATAGGATGGGAATCCATTGAAGAAGTTATGACAAATATTAAAATCCTTGTTGAATCTCAATGCTTACGAGTAATCATTTTGTTTTCCAAATTGTAGAGATGCTTTTTTCATACATTTGGCTGAAACATGAGATCTGATTAATGGTGATGGATTTTGCAGGATACTTGGATTTATAATTTATTTGGCTGGTATGATGCTGTTGTTCCTAAGAGTATCTCAGATATTGTCAATGAGCAAGAGAAGACAAGTGAAAACTTGAAGAAGAAATAGGATGTTGTCTTGTTGTTTTGATTTTGCAATATTTGTGATATGAAAGTAGGTTGGCAAGACAATGATTTTGCCCATTGTTTAAGTCATTTAGGATGTTGATTTTATTGAGACTTTAAGACACTGATTGTATTTTGGCACTTTAGGATGTAAGTTTTGGTTCTTGTAATTTAGGGAGTGTTTTAGGCAATTTGGCATATAAGAACTGTTATACTCATTGTATCATAACACCTGTTTAATGTGATATATTTTATTTCAAAACCCAAACTAGTTCCCAAATTAATATGATTGTATCAGCAACAGCAAACCATTTTTCTAGTTGGTAAAATAAAAAAATAGATAATCCTTGGACTCCACACATATATTGTGCATCATGATTGATGGGCATATGCGCTCACATGCTTTCCAATACATATTACCATACAAAGACATCCAAATAAAACAAATAAAGTCACTGGAACCATAAACATATCATAAATTCAATTTTCAATTCATAATTGGCCGCTAAAGACATTAAGAAAATACATGAAGTTCTTTTCAACAAAAAATTGGAATATTAAGCCATATCCAAAAAGAAGATATCATATTAAAAGTTGATAACATATTAATTTCGGTGGCATTCAGGTTGACTACTTGATGGATGTGTCACATTAATAGTTTCCTGAGAGCATTGATTTCCACTTTGCTTGAGTGGTTGAGGGCAAGTCCTTCGGTTATGTCCGGAATTCCCACAAATCTTACACTTTACACTTGTATTGCGTCTTCTAACCTTGTTGTGAGGGGCTGGTTCATCAAGCTCTCTTCTTCGTTTTTTTTGTGGCCTGCCTGGACGCTTGTGGTATTTTGGTGGATCAATTGGTTCCATTCTTGTGCGTGCCCACAACTCTTCTCCATTAATAGGATGGATCACAGGAGCATAGCAATCCACATAAGCTTGCAAACTAAGTGTTGGATCCACATAGTCAATGGGGTTGAGTCGACTAGCATAAATGCAACTCACAGCATGCCTATAATAAATAGAATGAGAATATTAAAAATGTGTTTCCAAATAATTTAAAGTTTGAAAGTGAGTTATAAACATACCTGCATGGAATTCCAGTCAACTGCCACCATCGACAAGCACACCACTTGAATTTGAGATTGACTGTAAACCTTTGAAAATTATATGACACTTCAAATTCATCATTATTTGCAAATCTTGGTTCCCACTTTCTAGATTCTACTATCTCTTTGTCAAGACGTTTACGAGGTCGAGGGCACACAATTCCCTTGCCATGATATTTTTCTGCTTTTACCCTATTTTGATTAAACCTATCCATCAAATAAGTTCGGATCCAATCAAGAAGACCAATAATTGGTCGTTCCCTTGCTTCTTATAGTCTACCATTGAAAGACTCTGATATGTTATTCATAATCATATCAGACTTGCAATAATCATCAAAATAGGCCTTTGTCCAACAAGATGGAGGAAACCTCATTAAATGTTCATATGCTTCCTTTGAAACTTTTTTCAGCTCATTCATTATCCCTTCCCATGCCGGTGGGTAAGTTGCTTTTGCTGCATGAATTACTAAATCTCTCACCAAAGTTCCACCACCATACTTTGCCTTGATATTGGCATACAAGTGCCTTACACAATAACGGTGTTCTGCACCTTCAAGCAATTCTTCAAAAGCTTGAACTAAACCCTACACATTAAAATACATAATTATTAGATGAACAAATAAATAAAAATATAATACATAAAAAACACATAATTACAACCTTCTGTTGGTCTGAAATAAATACCCATCTTTTTTCTGCTATGGACCCAATATCATCAAACAGATTCTTCAAGAACCATGTCCAAGAATCCCTATTTTCTGTTTCAACCACCGCCACGGCTAAAGGAAAATATTGCTCATTAGGATCACGAGCTACAGCCACTAATAATATGCCTCCATATGGACCCTTGAGAAAGCAACCATCCAATCCAATAATTGGCCTACATGATGCCTTGAAGCCTCTTTTCACAGGCTCTAAGCACATATACAATCTCCTAAATACTCTTGGCCAGTCTACATATGGTTTATCTGTGACAAGACAAAATGTTGATCCTGGATTTTTAGATTTGACTTCCATGCAGTAGTCCCTCAAGTGAACATATTCTTCTTTATGATCCCCCTCAACCATCCCCCTTGCTTTTTTTCTAGCCCAAAATGCCTTATTAAGAGAAGGTTTGGCCATGTAATTCCTTCTGATGGTAGCTTGCACATCTGCCAACTTCATATTTTTGTTCATTCTAACACTGTCTACTATCTTCTCAGCAATCCAATCTGTTGAAGCCCTTGTTGCATCAATGGTTACTCCCCATGCATGCTTTGGATTTAATGTCTTTAGTCGATAAGTCGATGAGTCAGCTTCTTTGCTTACAAACATCAACCAACCACATTTACTCTTGCATTTCACCCGGCATCTCTCTTTATCATTTTTTACATAGTCAAACACATAACCATTCAGCAAAGAGTGCTCCTTCAAAGCATCCTTAAATTGTTTGATTGAAGTAAACTCCATCCCCAAACTAAATTTAAAGTCCTTACACATCTCTGCTGGGTTGTATTTGTCATAACTTGTTATTGGCTTATCTTCATTTTCATCAAACACATGGTCTTCATACAACTCATCATCTTCTAGTTCTGATAGCAAATCACCAATGTTCTCATTCGGCACCCCAGAAAAAGAAACAACTTGTGAACCTACATGCTCGTCTGAATAGCTCCTATTACTTTGTCCCACATTCTCCACTAAATCAACATCAATGAATTCATTGAAGTAATCATATCCCATATCTGCTTCATCACTATCGTCTAAATATTCTAGCATTTCATCATCAATTGCTTCTTGTATATTTTCCTCATGCTCCATGATAACCCTGAAATTTAATACATTAAATTATAAAAGTTTAGAATATTATCAATTTATTATATGGATATATAATAATCAGGTTGCAATTTTAAAACCCACGCATTTATATAAAAAAACGTGCATATATGCAGAAGTCACAGCCATATTTTTTATAAATCGTAAATCTATGGACACCTTGGTCAAATGATAAAAACAATACATAATCATTGAATCCAAACACATCATCTACTTGTTTGTGATAGTGTCACGGAAAGAAATAGAATGAATAAATTAGTAAAATAAAGTGCCAGGGATCAACCTCGTGGACAAGTTAGTAACATCATGGGTCCTATATCTAATCATTCCCAAGCCCTATGAGAACTGAGAAGTCGGCTAACCTTTTGGACAAACGGGAAAAAAAAAAAAAAGTCAAGAGTTCATAAGCAGAGTCGACTAACCTTCTGGAGATTGTCCGTGATGATTTCGGGTGCCTTCTTTGCAATGTTGTGCGTGTTCAATGGAATAGAAGAGACGAAGAGACAACCCTAATGTGAAGCTTCATCGCTACGCTTCTACCTTCACGTCTTTAGTTTACATGACCGGAGTCTTATCTGGCTTTACTTTTTTGATATTTTTTCGAAAATTTTTTTTTCCAGCTAGATGCTTAATCAGGTTCTAGCTGTAAAAATATGTCCAATGGTTTGCCACCTCATTGCTCATTAACGGATTTCTTAACACTGTTAGCTTTAATTAAACAGTTTTTAGCTTTAGGGACTAACGGATCTAACGGAGTAAACTTAAAGGACTTGATAAAAAGGAAAAAAAATGCAAGGACCTAATTCAAAACTCGTGAAAACTACAAGGACTTGGAAACTAATTTTCCCAAAAATTTATATTGGAAGGTTGGAAATGGTAATAACATCAGTGTATGGTGGGTTAGATGGTTACCTGATCTGAGTAGATGCATATTGAGTGACTTGAATGTAGATAGTTAGAGAAATAATTTGATGCTTATTGATTTACTAAAGGGAGAATAGTGCAGTCTAGATATCATTAATGATTGCTTGAGCAACAAAGAAAAGCAATGGATATTAAAAATTCAAATTCCAAGTTAGGATTGTTGTTATAAGCTAATTTGGTCGTGAGGAATGGCATATACACAGTTAAATTGTGTTATTATGCAGTGAAAGAAGAAAAAGGATTTAGTATGAAGAAGGATCCTAATTCTTCTCATCAACTGTCGAAAGAGCTTTGGAAAAAGATATGGAAATTGGTGGTCCCACCCAAAGCGCAGCAATTTATTTGAAGACTTCTTAGTAGGGCGATAGCAACAAAAGAAACACTGTATACAAGGAAATATTCTAAAGATATGCTCTGTCCAGTGTGCAGAAATGAGCCTAGCTAAGATAATTAAACATTTGATATTATTCTACCTTTGGTCCTAGAAGTATTTTTTTGGCTGCAATTTGGGAATCAAAATTGATAGGATGCATATTTCCAATTTTGGGAAGTAGTATAAGGAAACGTTGTTAAGAATGGCAAGATGGATAGGGTGCAGAAAGCTATGATTGCATCTGTGAGTTGGTAGATCTGGAAATCGAGATAGGATTAGATTTTCAAGGATATTAGAGTGGTTTCAATAGTTGTAATAACTATCGAAGTCTTTAAACTAGTAGAGGAATTTGTGAATGCAAAGGTTAAGGGGCCAGTAATGAGCATGTAAATATGTTGTGATAAAGAGGTACGGCTGAATCACTGGACGAAGCCTACTGTGGGTACTACAAAAATCAACACTGATGGTGCTTATAACTTATGAGGAGGCGGATGGTTTTGCTGGTGTGGGTGTAATTCGCAGAAACAATGAATCTATTGTAGTGGGAATTTTATGCAGAAAAGTTACAACAGGATTTACTCTAATGACATAAGATTTGGCTTTAAAGGAAGCCTTTGGGTTGTGTAGCGAATTTGCATCCTGTCACGTTTGTTTTGAAATGGATTGTAATGAGTTATTTAATATGATTATTAAAGCCAGACTAGGGAATTGTGAATGGTAGTGTGCTAATCTAGTTGAGGAGGTGCTATGTTCCAAAGAATCTTTGTCTAACTGTTCTTTTTCTCCAGTAGATCACCAGGGCAATAGAGCTGCAGATTTTCTAGCGGCTAGGCATGTAAGGGGATGTGCCCAAACTTTGATATCTGGTCAGTGAATCTCCTCCGACAGCCATTTTGCATGAACACACCTTGGAATAGAAGGCTCGACCTTGGATGAGGAAATGTATTGGCTGATTGGTCAGCTATTGAGTCTTTTTAAGTTGTCATTGTGATATCATGTTGTTTTGTCAACCGCTGTTTTTCTTTTTTCTTTTTTTTTGTGTTTCTTGCATTTTGTTATTTTTGGTAGGTGGGTTGTACTTTAGGCCTTTTTTTTTTCAGAGAGATTATTTGGCTTCGATTGGCTATTGGTGCTTGTGCTTGATTTGTTTCGTGATTAATAAAATTGACTTTGTTTTAGCCAAAAAAAAAAAAAAAAAGAATGCACTATCGTTGAAATAAATATTGAGTAATTGACTATATTTTTTTCAAACATAAATCGCAAGAATGCAAATCATTTTTTATTTATTTTTGTTATTTTTGACACAAGAAAATACTTAATTTGAAATAATGGAGATAGTATTATATATTTTTATTGAATTTCTTAATAAATCACATTTTTCTATTTTTATTTTAAAAAAAAGGATTGAAAAAAAGATGGTCTAGTTACCAATAAAATAACCAATTTGAAAATAAATACAAAACTTAAAGAAATACACCCCGAAAAAAATCTTCTTTTTTGGCATAAATAATTAGAATAACTTTGGACTAATCAATGTTTGTTAAGAGTTCATTATGTGCTAAATGGATCATAGAAAGCCACCATGTCAGCAATGAACCCTTTTAATAAATTGTTAAATAAAAGAGTTTTACGTTGACTTATATCATAGACGATTGAACAAAAATTCATGACAGATGTCGAGAGTTGAACACAACACTTTTCTTTATTTCGGTTTGGTACCAACTATAAAACACGCAATTTAACCACATATATACCCACACCCCTTTTTACCTATACCTTTTGGTTGGCTGTTTGTTTTATGTCCTTATATTACCTTTTTTTTTTTTTAAATGTTCCCTGTAATTCAATTTTTGAAATACACATGAATTAGTTTGTTTCAATGTTGATGGCAACTTAAGAGTCAACCCAACCCAAAAGAAATCCAAAAACGAAAGCCTAAACCTAACAAAAGAAAGTAAGAAATAAAAGAGAGGAGAGGTGTTTCGGCCGGGTCGTTTAATTAGAAGGAAGCTACATCATGGCATGGTTAAGATGTTGTTTAGTTAGTATATGACTCATTTGTTTGCAATGAACAGCGCTATTGCTTCGATGATCTATTTGGTACGAAGGAAATAGAGAAATGGGAAAAGAAGAAAAAATTGTAATGAGTTTGATTTTAAAAAAAATTGAAGAAAGTTTTAAATTAATTTTTCTTACCATTTTATCTTATATATATATACACACACACATATATTCCTTTACTAAAATTTCATAATCCCACTTCTCCAATTCTTTTAAGCTAAACTCATTAAAATTTTTCCTCTCTTCTCCTCCTCTTCATTTTTCTCATACGAAAGTGATTATAAGTGAATATTTTGGTATGTTACATTCCTTAAAACAAACTTCCTATCACACCCTTATGCTGCGTGGGACCCATATCATCCGCTTATTCTCTCTTTTATCTCCTTTTGAATGCTATGATACATTTACCTTTACTTTGGTGAGTGCAGGTTAATAGGATCTACATTTTGTTTGATGTTGCTCCATGACAAATTTGGGAAGAAATAAGCATGAATGCTTCTTTTGTCTACAATAATCAATTTGTTGGAATTTGATATTTGTTCAAAAGGGAAAAAAAATTTAGTGAGCTGGAGCATTATTATTCTAGACTTACTTCATACAAGTCTGCATATTTCATAAAAATAAAAAACTGAAAAAAGAATTACTCTAATTTTGTATATCCCTTTGAATTTGATGAAAATTTTGGGAACCTCAACCACTTTTGACGAAATCTTCCAAACCCATGAATTTTAAGTCTGGAACGAATTCTTTTTATCTGTCTGCTAAAACCACCCCATCTTCGTTTCAGGATTTTATTTTTCGATGATCTTACTAGTTTCTTCACGTACTTACATCCTGCAAATTGGAAACAAATATTATACGAAATAAATCAGAAACAAGTTTTTTTGGCTTCATATTGCTTTCATAAATAATCCTTAAGTAATGTAGACTTTGCTATACTTCTATGATTTTTTATTAAGTACTACCTCCAATCTTGGAACTCATTTAATTTTTATCTTAGTCCTAAATCTAATATTTCAATCCACTTTATCTCTCATATTTGTCTATTTTTCTCAAGATAGTTCTTGTAATAATAGTAATTCTAGCCAATACACTTGGTTAACAAAGATATTTTAGGAAAAACAACATATATTTATTATAAATAACTAACTTAGCTAATTTTTTTAATATATTCAAATTAGTCAACTAGCTCTTATATTAAGAACCGGAAGTAGTGTTAAATGTAAGACCTAATAGAAGATTTTATTCTAATCCTAAATTTAAGATATCATTTTACTTTATCTCCTAAATTTATAAGTTTTTTTTCCTCAATTCTCCCTATTATTTGCACTTGTTAACAAGATTATCAATCCAAAGAGCAGTCTCCAGTGCAAATACACATATTTTATAAATAACTAACTTAGCTAATTTTTTTAATCTCTGCAAATTAATTATGGGTTAAGGTTAACTTAGCGAATTTTTTTGATCTCTGCAAATTAATTATGGGTTAAGGTACAAATGTCCCAGAAGTTTTTAATCAGGAACTCTCGTTATCTCAAAGTTTGATTAGGAACAAATTTAACCCGAAAGTTTAAAATCATAATAATATTGTTCCCTACCATCAAGAAAAACTAATATTGACTGTTAAAATAATGACATTAACCATTAACATTTTTAATAGCAAAAGGCAATATTGCTATGATTTTAAATTTTTGAGGCAAATTTGCTCCTAAAAAAACTGTTGGATACCAAGCACTCCAAAGTGAAAACTTTTAGGGTAATTTTGCACCTTAACCCAATCTAGTTCTTACATACAGGACTTGAGGGAATATTGTTTTTTAAAATATTTATGCACACTATTGTAGCATCAAAATAAGATTACGAACTTAGCTTGTTTTATCAGTGTTTATTTGTTTTGATTAAAAAAAACTCAGTCTTAATTTGTTAATTAATGATATTATTGAATTTGAAACTTAATTGGCAGCTGAAAGTTGACCTTCAAGTCTTTTGGGTTGTCTGTTTTCCTCTAAGCTTGTAGGGTGTAGAACCTGCATACGAAGAAACAGAATTAGCATCTGCCTAGCTGGATTATATAATACTCTTTTGGTCTCTAATATAAAACCTATTTAACTAATTTGATTAGATTAAGAAAGTTAGGTAAATTAGTTAATTATAAGAAATATGACATATTTTTCCTTAAATACTATAATCATCTTCCTTAATATTCTCTGTCCCTCTTTCACTTGATTACAGTCAACAGAGTATCCATATGGATAATTTAGAAAAAATTAAAAAATATAAGAAATATATCTTATATTTAGGATCAAAATCAACTCAACAATTAAGTCATATATTAAGGATCGGAGTATATATATATAGAGAGAGAGTGTGTGTTCAGTCAATGTGTTATTCTACAAACAGTACATATATATAATATCATAATGTCACACTTAAAATTATTGTTTACCTCAACCAAACTTTTCAACTTCTTCCTCATCCTTCTTTGTATATAACCTTTAGTGCTCTGCGACGTAGTATTAAATGAAGATTTCATAAAAACACTGATTTTTAATTAGAACTAACGTGTACACAAAATATTACCTTAACATGGTATCTCACATATGCGTTGAAGTTTAATAGATTCCATAGAATCTTGTCCGGTCTTTTGCCTTCAACATGGTGTGAAGAGATATCTGTGATCCACGTGCATTAGAATCCATATATCTTTATCAAGCAATTCTTTTGTTACTAATATTTGAGTCGAAGTTTAAAGACTGATACCGAAAGAGACGAATCCTCCATTGGTACTCAAATCCTCGAATGCTTCTCCTCTTAACTCTGGAGGAGGAATGGCTGACCATGAACATCGTGGTGCCTTGGCCCATTTATCTGAGTTTCCAACATCCATGAGTTCCTGCCATTAATTATCAAGAAATAAGAGAAAAAAATTATCGCTAGTGCAAAAAGGCCATTTTATACCGGTTATTCAACTGAATTAGATACAGCTAGTATAGAAAGTCTAATATTTTTACATTGATTATTATTGAACCATTGTAGGAAAAAACTATTCTACACTGATTGTTGCTAACCGGTGTAGAAAAGTTTTACCAAAACGCAAAAAAAAAAAAAAAATGTTGAGAATTAATTACTTATTTGTGCTATGTCACAATTCATAAGCTAATTATGTGATGGGAAAATGATTCATTTTTAGCAAATTCTAACTATTTAATTGATTTGACGGTCTAAATTTATTTTCTTAAATAAATTATTAAGAGACTTGGACCATCCAAATTAACTAAATAATGGTCATATTTTCTTTAAAATGAGAAGATCTATAGCTATATATTACTCTCGATTCTTAATATAAGAGTTAGTTTGACTTTTAATTCGATTCTAAATATAAAACTCAATTCTAATTTGCCTTTTATATTTATTCATTTTTTTTAAAGTAATTTTTATAGTAGTTATATATGTTAAAAGTTCCACCAAATAGTAGTTTTAGCTAATATACATGATTCTAGGAAAGACAACACATATTTATTATAAGTAACCAACTTAACTAATTTTTTTAATTAATCTTTCCAAATTAGTTAATTATGTCTTATATTGAGGACTAAAAGTAGTCCATGTACCTGAAAGAAAGCTGTTGCAATAATGACATCTGCATTTTCTCTGAAACGAATTGGGAAAATTGCTATGATTCTTTGAGGCTGTGTGAAGCATATAAATAGTCAACATGGATAAGCACTAGAATATGAACAACTGTGACAGATGACAAAGCTGAATTAGTAATTCTTGTTTATGGTTTATGAATCCTAATCTCAATCATGTCATTGTGATTATCAGAACTTTGATTTCTTTTATTAGAATATAAAAGTACTTCAAAGTTCAAATGACGTAGAACATATGTCATTTACCTTTTGAGTTTTGCCAAAATTCAAAAGACCCTCCTTAAGTCTTGTGAAATTATATGAGCTTTCTTTCTACTTTCAAAGCCTATACAAACTTTTTTTCTGAAAGCAAACGCTAAATTACATAGATGTCCTTTGAGTGTTCAAACTTCAAAGACGTCCCTTATATTATGAAGGAAAGCTAGTACATATTTGATTAAAAAAAAAACACAGATGTTCATATAATTTCAATAAAATCCTAAACAAGTTTATGTATTTTCATCCTTGTTTCTTGGAAAGTTTCTGGAGACTTTGAAAATAAAGAGGAGATCTATGTATAAAAGAGAGGTTTGTGTAATTTTTGAAAAATTTAGGAGTTATTTGTGCGACTTACTTCACAATATATCATGAAATTAAATGGAAAATCAGAAAGAAATAACAGTTGGAACAGGGTATTAGCGGGGGAAAGAAAGAAACAGAGTATTTGATTTTCAAACTTGATGAGGATTGTGGGATTTTGATTTGAGTGAACATAATATTGGAAATTAGTACCTGCTTGATGAGAAAGAATGGTTCTCTTGGATGGTACACAAATTTGATGGGTTTATAGAACTCAACATTCTGAAGCATGTCTTTCAGCTGACAACTTAGAACGACTGATTGAATTGTGGAAATCTCTCTGATGATTTTAACATGCTCTGCATCAGGAATTGAGTACAATATTCATACTTATTGTCCATGTAACAGGTAATAAAACTAAATAATTTCATCCATTGCACAAAGTCTAAGATACGAGTTAAACTATTTATGGCTCACATGAAAATCTCTTTTGAAAATGAAAGGAAATTTTAATGAATTTTTGGAGGAAAAAAATCAGGAACAGTGTATGCATTTTATACTAGGTGAATCTGTGTGGTTTATCAAAACTCACATGAGGTCTATGGAATTTATTTGCATTTGTTTCAAATAATCAAATTTAAATTAATTAAAAGAAAAAAGAAAAAAAAATCTCCTTGGTCCTCTAATTTCATACAAATAAAGGTTTCAATTTAGTCTTTTAATTTTACAAAATATATTTTTAGTACATTAATACTATGTTTGGTACGAGATTTTTGGAGGGGAAGGGAGGGAAGTTGCTCCCCTCCCCTTGTTTGGCTAGTGCAATTTTTTAGGATAACTCCCCTCCCCTTGTTTGGTTAAAATATTTTTTAAAGAGGGGAGAGGCTTTTCTCCCCTCCCCTTCCTTCTAGCTTCTCTTAAAAAGTGGAGTTTTTTTGGAGGGGAGATGAGAGATAATATTTTAATTCCTCATATACCCTTTTGATTTGTTAAACCCTAATCATTAGTCGTAAATATTTCTACATAAGAGAGTTATTTTGAACAGCTAGCAAGAGATTGTTGAGATAATTGTCTCCAAAATTAACAAGCATTTGTAAACCTTTTTTTCCCCTCTTCTTCTAATTCTAAGAGGCCGTCGGTATCTTCTTTCACTTTCAAGGTCTTTTCTCTGATTGAAATATATCACTTACGAATTTTTATTTTGATATCCTATAAGTGTTTGACTGTGTCCTGTAAATCAAAATTGGTAAATTACATTATATATAATTATATCTTAACAAAATAAAAAAGCGAGAAAATTCATTTAAATTTTATGAAGTTAAAATAGTCAATTTTTTATTAAAACAAAATAAGGTATTATTAAAATTGCTCCCTCCCCTCCCCTCCAATCAATCCAAACAAGAGATCATTAAAATCCCTCTCCTCTCTTTTGTAGCTACCCTCCCCATTCCTCTTCTCCCTTTCTCTTTGTTGAGCCAAACACAGCGTAACTCTAACACCATTATTATTAAAATATTTGTGTCAATCAAGTCTCACATGAAATTTTTTGTGTGCCAATCATTATTATGTCTTAAAAAATAAATTTAATATAGCAGTTTTTATGAATATTTTATGAACATTTAAAATTTTAATATTTACATTTATTATTAATAAAGCTAACGGATAAGAGTAAAGAATTAAAAAGGCACTTTATAAAATTAAGAGATCAAAATAATATCTTGCGTCAAGTAAAAGGTCTAAAGATATATATTTGCAAATATATATATATATATATATCTACATGATTTCAAGCCAAAACTTTAAAAACGCGCATGTACTTTACTTAGATGGAAACTCTAAACAGTTATAATATAAGCTGCAAGAAAATAAATAAATAAAGAGAAAATTAATCTTTTCGTCCTTGAAATTTTAACTCATTTAAAACTCAGTCTCTCAACTATAACTCGTTATGACTCCTGTCCAAAAAATTTAACTCGTTTAAAACCCAGTCCCTCATCTTTTTTATTGTTAATAATTTTGTTCTTATCATATATAATCCATGCCACGTCATCATTGAACCATCCTATCGGGAAAAAAATACAGTTATAAATTCTTTTTTGGACTTCCAGCTCAGCTCTCCATGTAAATTTGACAAAAGAATTGAAAAAAAAAATAAAGCTTCAGATTTACCATGAACTAGAACTAGTGATGACGATGGTGACCTCACTCTCCCTCACTCACCTCCTCCCTCGTGAGTGAGGGAGAGTGAAGTCGCCGTTCGCACTTCATCTCCAGTTTGAGTTCATGGTAAATCTGAAGCTTTATTTTTTTTTTCAATTTTTTTGTCAAATTTACATGGAGAGTTGAGCTGGAAATCTACAAAATAATTTATGACTGTATTTTTTTCCATGTAGGATTACTCAATGATGACTTCACATGGGTTATAGATTATTTAAAATAAAAAAGATGAGGGACTAAATTTTAAGTGAATTAAACTTTCAGGGATTGAGTCATAACAAGTCATGGTTGAGGGATTGAGTTTTAAATGAGTCAAAATTTCAAGAACTAAAAGATTAATTTTTCCATAAATAAATAACAGAATTTAATAAAAAATTTTAAAGGAATTTTTTTAATGACATTGAAATTGAGTTGAGATATGGCAAACCTTTTGCAGGAGGAATGTGGTTGAGGTAAAGAATGAGAGTAAGTTGGTATCCTTCCCTGGGAGGATCAACAATCTCCAAAGCCTCTGGGCAAAGCCCTTTTACCTTTTGAATGGTGAAATTTGATAGTTTATCTGATTGAAGTCCTTGGCAAAGTGGCGGCAGTGATATTGACAAGTATGCTATTTGTGGATTTGAGGCATGAGACTGAAAATAACTCACAGTGAGCGTTTAGTTTCCATGAAAAATTGAATATTTTATGGAATTATTTCATAACTCTTCAATATTTAAGTTCATTTGGACTTTTGTATAACACACATTCACATAAATTATTAATTACCTGTATAAATATATTTTGTATAAAGTCTTTAAAAATGAATTTTATTATTTATGATTTTTATAAATATTGTGGTTTATTTTTTTTTTAAATTTATAGGTTTAGAATGATAAAGTTTTGTAAACTAAGATGCGATTTGATTCAAGAACGACTGTTGCTACCATGAAAAATTTGAATAAAAATAAAGGTAAAATCACAATGAGTTTTGATAAAATAAAATATTGTGTTTGATGTGATATAGAAAAAAGTTTTCTTAGTATAATATATTAATTTTTTATTAAATTTTTATTTGCAAAAAAATATTTTCCACGTGCCTTTAATAAAAAATTATTAAATATTTTTTAATATTTAAAAAATTAAAATTATCAAGAATTGAAAGTCATTTTTTAAAGGAGAAAAAATAGGCATGGCCACTTGTATGCTTTATGTGCTGTTCTCCAATTAATTTACAGCGTTTACTGATAATTGGCAGGTTGAAAAATAAAATCCAATTGGCATTGGATAATTGGAAAACAGCATATAAAGCCTATAGTTAATCACTAATTCTGTCCTAAATATAAAAACTAATTTATAGTATAAATTATATTATTGTTAAGAAAATACCAAAATAATTCAAAATATCACTTTAAGATCGAAAATCAGAACTTCAATGTCAATTTACTTAAGGGTTTTTAAATTAGCTTTTTTAAAGCAATATTAGGGGGTTTGATGTAAATTTTTGAGAAGGATTTTGTTTCAATTTATGTGAAAGTTTTTTTTTTAATTGCTCCTAAAAGGTATCTAAACTTCTTCTAAATCCTTTTTACTAGCTTTTCACCCTGAGGCCCAAAGTAAGGACAAACATACGCCTTTGGAATCTGGCCGGAGCAAACAAAAAAAAAAAAGTAAAAACAAAAGGGTTAGGGCATGCTTTTTACTCTTAGAAAAATATTTAGGGCTTACCCAATAATAAAGTCTTTACGTTGACAATAGAATTTGAACCCACAATCTTATAAATTATTAGCTAACTATAAGTTGGCCAACTTTTGTTGGCTTTAAAGTTGATGTGCCCCTTTAAAAAATTTGACAATTATAATATAATATATTATAGCATATGGAAAATTGCGCTCAAGTCAAATTATTTTGGGACATTCTTTAAGCTAGTAAGTACAATGCACTTGCCGCTTGTATGATTGTTATGGAGAACTTGATTGGGTTATTTTTTTGTTAAAATTTTTACCTAGTATACAATATTTTTTAAGTATATTGTGATTAATTAATATAAAAGAAAGCCGTGTATGAAGTTTCAAACCAAAAACGTACAAAGCACAAAGTCAGAGAAAGAAATAATTGAAAATAACAAGGGGACCCAATCAAACAATAAATTTCTGAAGATCTAAATTCCTAGTTGTTGAGTCCAACAAAAAAAAAAATTCCTAGTTGGTTTTAAGAGTAACTCAAACATGTCGTCTGTGTTACTGTTTTACTAGGTCTAGCGTCATGTTTAGGAATAAAATAAAATATTGTATAATTTAAACTTTATGATTAATTATTATATTGCGAACTTTTGTTATCTCTTTTAAGCTAATTATTTACATTAGAAGTGTTATGAAAATTGTTATCATCACTGAAAATATAATATATGTACTCTAAAATTTAATGAAATTGGAAGAAATTTCAGTTGGGACTTACCTGAATATGGTATTCCGCTGATCCAATTTCATATATGTGATGATCAATCTCCAAGGGCTTCTCAGTCCTGTCATGAATTCAATAAAAGCATATAAAGTCTATTTTTATTTGAAATTTAACCTTAAATGGTGGGAATTTAATTTCAATGCACCGAATCTACCTAAATAATCATTATCATCTCTGGCCAATATATGTTATCAATATCATCAATAAAATATAAATTCTATGGGGAACTATATGACTTATAAACTACTAATGATCTAACTTCTCTTAGACTTTGTTCAACATTTTTTTAATGTTTTAAAATTTTCTCCCTATATTTAATTCCTTATATGCATTTTTATTTTCATTTCTTCAATATTTTCCACATATTTTTTATAAGCTCAAAATTTCAGTGAGATGAGTTTTTTCCCCGAAAAGAATAGTTTTTTATCTCTTAAATACATGCCATTGAACAAAGGTATATCTTTAGTTCTCATAACACACACACCCCTATCCAAAAAAACAATTAAAGAAATTGATCGTTGAGATCGAAGTAAAGTTTGGTCCCAACAAGGGCTCTAGAGATTAGTATGAGGTTAAGTTTTCTAATGAAATTACCCAAATGCCCTTTTTTGGAAAATGAAATTACTACAACAATTTTACAGGCTCTTTTTTTGCCAAAGAAATGTATTCATTTAAAACAAAAACCAGAAGAAAGAAACTAGCTCCAAGGCCAACAAAGTGTCAACAACAAAATAGAAACAAGAATTCTAAATGAAAGCAAAAGAGAACATTCTGCACTGAATAACAACTTAACAAGGTAAGTAATACTTTTACCTTACCAAATGACAATGTTAACTCTGGCCAAAAAATGACAATGACAACTAAGATAGTGATAACTAATTTTAGTGAAATGTTTTATTAAACATTAATGGTAACAACAATTTAACAAATAACAATTTTAACTTGTTAAATGACAACAACTAAGACAAATATTTTATTGACAGCATTTAGATCATTTTGCAAGAAGATCTGATTCTAAAATAATCTCTAGGAAATTCATAAGAACTATTAAGCCATTTCGAGGGACCATTTTGAAATTCCGATATTTCAGTATCCTTAATTATACGTCTTTCTCCTTAGAAAAACCTAGGAAGAAAAAGAAGATACAAAAGTGAAGTTACTTACCGATAGAGTTTAAGGAGAATTTCTGTGAGAGCAGGAGAAGCTCTATCTATGAACGCCATGGATCTGTGATTCTCTTATCTTCTCTGTGTTGTGTGTTAGATCCAGAGTGAACTGAAATTCCTTCTCAAAGTGAAGTGGTAGGTTTGGAGGTATATATAATAAATAAATTAAATCATCACTTTGAGTAAAACCAAAGTTCAACGTTGCAATCATGTTTGGTAACCTTTCAAGTAACTCCACATACACTACTAATTCCAACTATCACCAACAGCACATATACCCTTTTGGTTTTTCTTTCCTTTTCATTGTTTATTTCTTTCGTGACTTCTGTCTCAATCATTATCTCAATCAAACTCTTCTATAGTTTGTTTTCACACACAAATACATTTACAAACATCTTAGAAAGGTAAGTTGATTAAACATTACGTTTAAAATATTCCATGTCATGAGAATGGAAATTACGTGTAAGAATACAAATTACCTAAAACTTGGCTACAACTTAACTTGTAGAGTTGAGACATCATAAAATTATAGTACAACATTACTACTGTTTTTTTTAAAATTAAATTTGAACTTAAATCCTTTAAAATTTGTTTTTAATTTTTTATTTTATATGCTACTTCTTTTGAAATGGAGAAAAAAGGTAAAATTTAAAATAATATTTAAGTATTAAAATCAAAATTTAGAAAATTCATTTTTAAAAAAAAGCAACAAACTTACTGTGTTATTGATTTTCAGCATTATTAATATATCTCATTGCCTAAGAATATTTCTGGAAAATGATTACATATGTTAAACAGTAAAATGCTGTTTAAATAATGTTTTGATGGTAATTAAACAATTTAAAACTCAAATAAACCACTATACTTAATATAATTATATAAACGGATCAACTAGCTAGTCTAAAAAATTCCGTTTACCAACCTATCTTCAAAAGATACGTATAATGTCTACACAAAAAAAAAAAAAAAAACAGAGAGATTGGGGATATAAACAACTTATCACTGAAGAGCAATTCAATTAAAACTTAGAATTTTTTATAAGAGTTATTTTAATTATAAAAATTTATTATGATAAATAATCTCTAAGACACTCTAATGCAATAGCCCTTCGGGATTAGAGGTATTTTGGTACCTTCATTAAAAATTATATACTGTTTGGTAAACTTTTGATATAAGTTTATGGGTATTTTTGATCTTTAACGTTTTTATTTTAATTAGAATATTTTGAGACTTTCATTAAAAATGTTGTAGGTCTCACTACAAAAAGTAATAGATGTTTTCTCAATTTAATATTGTCATTATTGGGCTTTTTTTTAAAACTTGTCTTAGTAGATTTGAGCCAACAAAAAGTCATGATGTTGGGTAAACTTTTCATATAAGTTTATAGATTTTTTTTATCATTATCTCTTATTTTAATAATCTAAATTGCTATCAAATGCTTTGTCATTCTAAAACTTTTCCTGTGGTCGAAAGATTTCAAGGGTTTGACTTTGAGCTCATTACTTTACATTTCACCAAAGTAGCATTCAGAAAAGAAAAAATAAGTTAGAATCTCCATATGAATATAAAGTACTTCCTCTTGTCTTTAAGGTAGAAACTAGATAATTAATTTATAAAAATTAAAAAAATTAGTTAATTTAATTATTTATATAAAATGTATATTAGTTTTTTCAAAACATCTTATTAAATTATTTCCATTAAAACTACTACCTGATGAAAATTTTTCTAATATATACCATCAATAGTGTCAGTGTCTTGGTGATAGTTTGAAAAATGTAATAAATTTAAGGGACATAGTGAATTATGATCTTATATTTTGGATTAAAGTAAATTAATCTACTAATTTTTATATTTAGAATTGGATGTAGAATTTTTCTTTTAACCTTCCCCGCTATTTGCACTCTGTTCTTTTGCATTTACAAGCAGCATCGAACATTTGTTTTCAGTTTGAATTGGTGTTGGATTTTTCCATACTACTCCTTTGGTCCTATTTATAAGTTACTTTATTAAATTTTTAGCATAAATATATTATATTGTCCTTCATTTATTATAGTGTAAACAGTTCTTTTTTTAAAATGTGTATATATTAAACATGAGTAAAGTTGAAAATTTGTTATATTTTAAGGAAAAGTTAATACAATCACTACTATAAAAAAAAATCATTTTCGTCTATTTTGGAGGCCTTTATTCATCTATTTCATGGGGGATTTTAACAGAAGAGACGTGGATGGTATCAACATATTCTTTTGTTCATAATAGACAAGTATGAGCATGTCATACTCGCCTGTTCCCAAGTGAACAGACAAGTATATAATTTTTTAAAAAAATAAAATTCATAATTGATATACCATAGTTTTCCTTTGAACCCTGCAAATGAAACTGAACCAAAACAGAGTACGACAACAACAGCAATTCAGCAAAGGTAGTTTTCATACAAATGGTATCCTAATGACATCCTAAACAACATCCTATACTTATGAAAATAACATCGTAATTAACTTAGTGAAGCAAAAAATAACTAAACTCCCTAAACTATGCCTTTCAACCTCATGTGTCATTTTGAGAGAAATTCTCTTGAAGAAATTGCCCTGCCAAATGATCTTAAACAGCATCAACGTCTTCATCAGTGTAAGATCTTTGATCATAAAAAATCTATAAGTTTATGAATAAAAAAATTTAATCAAAAGAAAGCAAGAAATCAAATTGAAAAAAATCAAATAATTATAATCAAATTAATTATTACCATCCCAAAATCTTTAGCACATCCTGACTCAATAATTTCATACGTGAAACGGATAATATAGTATCTACACTCTAAACTTTCTGGTTGCAGATGACACTGTAAATCAAAAGTGAATAAAAAAGATAAATATACCTATATATGAAGTAATTGTTGGTGAAATTGAAGAACTTTAATTGAAACACTTACTAATGGTTTGTGCCAGGCCATCTTGCCATTTTTACCATCGCGCTTCCCACCTTGTATATAATATGCCTTCAAAGACCTATCACTAAAAGAAAATGACAAGACATTAGAATAATTTAATGAAGTAAAAAAAAACCATATATAAGATGAGAAAAACTTACGTATTGAAGATACATTTAATATCATCACTTGGGCAATGCCCCAAAGAATCAAACCAGTAAATGACATTGTTTGTAGGGCAAGCAATGCACAATGACCAATATTTGCTGAAATATTAAAAGAAATGAAACCAGTGAATTCATGGAAAATTATATATATAAATAGATATAAAATACTTACTTTTCAATAATTGGGGCAAAATAACAAGGTAATTGGGTCTCCAATTGTGTTATCCACATATCTCATCTGCTTATCAATGGTGTTCTTTACAGGTTGCAAAGCAGCTGAACACATGAATCCATATAAGTCTCTCTTTCCCGTAGAAGCACACAAGTTACAGAAGTAACTATAATCAAGTTAAAATGAGTAAAAAATTAGTTCATATGTATAAGTTAAAAATGAGCACACAAAAAAAATCATAAAATAAAATCACATTATTGCTAATTGTGTCACATCTCGCCAAATTTAGCATTGATAGAGGGGATGAAAATTTTGGTTAAGGGTCAATAGGGAAAGAAGATTGGCTAAAAAAATTAGGCATAGTGTGAGACCCAAAAAGGGTTTAGACTGACATTTTCAAAATTATCGATCTAGGAAGAGCAAAATGGAAAATTTGAGAAAAATTCTAGAAAATTCACTAAAAATGAAAAATTGGTGAATTAGAGGTTTTAGAACCTCAATGGAAGCCCTAGAGGTGAAATTGGTGTAAAAAGGAATTATTACGGAATTTCCCAAATACAGAGGCTTTTTGGGAAAATTGAAGGAAAATAATTATTTTAAATAACTAGAGATCTCAATAATTCCCGAAAAAATATGTATTAATTATCTAAATATTTATGAGAATTTATAAAATTAATTTTAGGCCTTTGAAGCACAGGAATTAATTTTTTGAAATTTATTTTTCACAGTTTTACTGATAGAGGCCTAATCGGGAAAAATTCAAAATAAATAGTTATAGGTGGAGAAAAATTCTAAAAATTTCCAGATCATGTCATCATATGAAAAGAGGATTTTTAATGAAGAGAAATGAATTTTTAGAGGTCTAGAAAAATTATGGAATGTTACTAGTGAATAGTAATTGATAAAGTTTCGAAATTGCTGCGAATAGTGAATAGTAACTCGAAACCTAAGTTGAAATTTTGAAATTTTCTCACACTTAAGGCTTATATAATGGTTCCAAATTTTTCCAATTGTTATATAATGAGGTAATAAAGGAGGTGTGACACTTTTTGGTATCAGAGCAAAGATTCTGGCTTACTATAATATGCTTTGATTATGTGATAAGTTTACTATGGATTAAAGGTTTTGGGTTTGCTTAATAAATGTTTTGATAGTAGTGCTCTATGGTATTGTACGGCATTGTATTGCCCTGTATTATCTTGAATTGTGTTGCATTGTATTGCTTCAATTATATTATTGGTTTGCTGCATGATCGGACCGGAATGTCGCCTTTGGGGTCATCAAAATTATGATTGTACCAGATAATGTAGTATAGGCACAACCAATCATTCTTCTCGAGGAGCACTTTATTGGAAAACAACCTAGTTTAAATTGGTAATAAAAAACATGATGATTTGGGTGAAGAAAAATGGGGTTTTAATTGTTTTAAAGGTGGTGTATAAAAGTAAAGTGCAGAGAAATAGATGTTTTTGATATTTTAAATGAATGAAGAAATGTTTTGGATTAAAGGGAAAGTATGGTGAAATAGTCTCTTGATGTTGAAAACTCAGCTATCATTGCTCTTAAATGATTGGGAGCTTTAAAAATGTCTATCTGAAGAAAAACCCCAAGCAATCACTTAGATCCATTGTCTTAATTAATGAAAACTCACTTTAATCCAAGTTGATCAACACCTCTTAAAACAATGTTGAAAACCACTTAGAGTGTAAATGAATAGATGATGCAAACATCCTTAGAATATCAATCAACAATCATAGAATACCAAGCGCACAGATTAATCATTAATAATCACTGATAATCAATTTGAACACAAGGATTTAAAAACTAATATATTTATATAGATGATC